AGCAACAAAAACAACTGCCCGCCCCATAGGTCACATGACCTATACCCAGGCCCTAGCGGCGCGCGAGAAAAACATTTTTCACTTATTTCGTTCCACTCAGCCAGTAAAAAATTACCCTTAGAGAATTTTAAAACTAACCCACACTAGTTGCCAGCTGTACTCTGAGGAGCTGTTCCTTCTGGGTGGGGTTGCCCTTTAGACAGTGAGACAGAGCTACAGCAGCGCACCAGTTGGACAAAGGGTCTGGACTGAACAGCAACAATGATAGCATAAAATGATAACAGTCAGTAGGTGATACTCAAAACAATTCTTGGGCTAAAATTAATAAGTAACACTGCTCAGGTAATAATTAACAACTATTTACCGAAGTGGAGGTGGTTAGTGGTGGATATTTACCGAGCCGCGAAGCGGCGTGGTAAATATCCACCGCTAATTAACCACCGACACTGAGGTGAATGGTTGTTTTAATATATACTAAAACAGTGAGATAATATACACCACCGAAAATTGATTTGAGTGATTTCTTCCCTTGTCACAGATGCAAACCGGGACGCCATTTTTTCCCGAGTTGCTCTGGGGTAAATAGCAAAGAATATTCGGAGTTTGAATAGCCAATCAGAGCACGCCTTCAACGCTATCTACTGTTGAAGTATATACTAATGGAGGTGATCGTGCTCTGATTGGTCAAGAATGTGTTATATCTCGCTATAATCACCTCACGCGAGGTGATTACAGCTGGAGTGATGAGTTTCAAAATGGCTGCCTCGCGTTTTGTTGATGTTACCGAGGAAGTGATAAACGCGAAAGACGAAAATTCAATTTCGAAGAGCACAAAAGACTCAACTAAGTTTTACGTGACACTTTTCAAAAGTAAGATATGAAGATTTTGCTGTTAAATTCTGGGGCTTAAACCCTCAATCTCCTGCACAATAGTTCAGCTCTCAACTACATGAGCTAACCAGGAGGCGGTCAATGTACACCATTTCAGTTTAACTTCATGCTAAACCTACCTGAACAAACCAGCACAAAGAAGCTGTCCAGCTGAGATGTTACTCGCTGGAAATGAAGCAAAAGTCATCATAAGGTTTAGAAAAAGGCAAAAGAAAAAAAAAGGAATACAGGAGTCGTCTGTCCTCCATAAAAAGACAGGCGCAGCAACAATTAACCTTTGACCCTTTCAGAGAGGCCACATTTCCAAACCTTACTGCTTTTGTAAAGAACAAGAAAGTTGGTTTCCGCTTTGCAGAAAATGTCCATTGATAGAGTACAGGGTTATAGAACAGGTCTTCAGGGGGGAGGGTCCCCCAAGAGCGTCTTATTAACATTTGTGGAGATACAGTCAAAGCTGTGAAAAGCGGTTTCCCATGGGGAATGGCAAGGTTCCACAGATTAAGGATATTATAACAAAAAAAAACAAACAAACAAACAAACAAAAAAAAAACACATACATGTACACAGCGCCACTTTGTGCCATAAATGACTACTTTTAATGTACGGAATCTCGCTCAAAAATACTGCTTAGTTTGGTTTTGGGAGACCAACATAGGATCGATTACCAGCCGCTATTCGGGATCCGGAGCCCATGCTCCTCCCAGAACCCACCAGGAGGAACGAAAATGACCGGACTCGAGAGAGCGGCGGAAATCGAGCCTAAGACAAACATGGATTACTGGAGAGATTATTCTTAGCTATATTTGAGTGGTTTCACTTTCATTGACCATTCGATACAGGTGCAAAACAATACAAACAGGTCGTTGGGACGTAGTAAAGAGCGGGTTCGACTGCTCAATAAAGGTAAAAATTACAGTGAATATGGGGAAAAAAATTCGGGACTTTGACCACTTAATACAGTACCGCTAAATACAGGTTCAATTGTGTGTCACATGTACACATGAATGTGTGTTCGTGACAAAGAAGGGGGCAGAGGTCACTTGCATGTGAGCACATTTAGTAATCAAAATCTTATTAATATTTACCGGCTGTAGCTGAAGATGGCAGCAAGGTTGTCACAATGTCATTCTGACCCTGTTCATTCTTGTACAGATAGCACTGTTCACAAACAAACAAACAAACAAACAACATCAATATAAATTAACAATAAAATAAAATAGAGGGATAGAGTTGAGCTTACAAGTGGACGTGGAACTGTAGAGTTGTCACTCATGCGATTTTAGGGCTTGAAAAAAATTATGTTTGTCAAGGTGTGAAAAACAACCCCATTCTCTGATACAATGACTATTCAGTGGCAGTACCTATTAGCATTTTTTCCCTTTGACCAAAAAATAAACGTTCATTGTAACGGGCACTCCAATGAGCATCTTATGAAGCCTGCTTGACCCTTCAGCTCCCATCAGTGACT